AATAGTAAGCTGCATCAGCAATTAAGCTGCTCCCCTACACCTCAGATGGCAGCAATGGCTAAAGAGAAGTGTGGAAGTAGAGACATTTCTACTAAACAGAATGCAGCAGGCCCATTTTCCACAAGTTGAATTTTGATAAATAGAGTGAAGTTAATGTGGTTTGCAAGAAAGCTACATAATGAAAGGATTGTGAAGTAATCATTTTAGTATATATTCAGTGTATAAATACTATACTGCTTATTGAAGATCATTCACTTTTTAAGAAGGGACAGTATGCTGGATATCAATTTTCATGAAAGATGTTCCTCTTTAGGATTTTTACACAGTCTGCTACAATTCATAGCTTTGATGGACTCTGATGAGTTTTACATCAATTCTAGTCAAAGTTCCCTCAGTGATATCACAGTAATAAGATGTACTTTTTCTACAGCTTACTGCAGATTTTATTTACATTACACACAAGATAAACATTTATCAAACATTCTTTGGATTACGGAAATACATTGAATCCCTGAAATACTGTATATCCATTAAAAAAGCAACACTGATTAAAATAAGTGAAAACCCTACCTGACAAAGACTCTTTGTTAATTTTATTCTCACACATAGATGAAGACCAAGAACATATAAATCCTGAAATGTAATACTTCTAACTCCCGTTTAATTTCCTTCAATAAGGTTTTGGCACCATGTCACAAACACGTGTACCAAAGCACAATCTAACAGAGCCAAGATTACACTTAATTTGTTCAGACACAAAAAAGCATCCTCCCGTTTTATATTTTGTATTTTTTGGTCTACAGCTCTGAGTACTCATTACAACTACTTAGCTATCAAGATGTATTGACAGCAATTTGGACAACGGTTGAAACAAAAGACGTAATAAGAGTTCCAGGAAATTAACTGCAGAATCAGCAACTGCCCAAAAAGCAGACAACACTGTATAAAAATAGGCTACAAATAGTTATTTTATCATATACAGTATAAAGGCCAAATACAGATTAAGTCATAATAAAAAAACCTGCACATCATCTGGTTTTTAACTATTATTTCGAGAGGCACCTTGGTCTAGTGAACTTACTATAGGCCTGGAACTCCCCAGTTATATTTGCAGGGCTGTCACTGCTTTGCTGTAGCATCTGGGGCAACATTTTCTGTGCAGTTCCCTTTCTGCCTCCAGTCTATAAAATGAAGGTAATACTTACCCACCTAAGAAGTTGTGTTTTAAGGGACAGGACCCAATCTTGCAAGATGCAGAGTGCTCTCCACACACTACTTCTCTTGAAATTGTAGGTGCTTAGCAACTTGCAGAATCAGAGCTTAATGTGCATACATGGCTTTGAAAATGCAAAGTGCTTAACTTTAAGCATGAAAATAGTCCCATCCACTGTAATGACAGCACTCACACATGCTTAAAGCTAACAACACACATACGTTTGGAGGATCAGGGCTTCAAAGACTCAACAAACTAACTGTTTATCAAGACAATTCCTGATTTGTCATCAAACTAATCAGGTAATCCTTCTAAAAGGAGAAAGTTATAACTGAGGAGTCGTGACCAGACAACAAAATTAATGAGGTAGGAAGAATGGGGAAAGTGGGGAAAGGCTGTTTCACAGACCTTTTCACTTTTTCGTGAAGCACTCTAACAACAGTACTAATAGTGCCACCAAAATGATCAAAATAAGTGCTTCCAAACGATAGAAAGTAGAGAAAGAGTGTGTGTAAATAAAAATTGGCTAAATAAAACTCCTTAAGTCTCCAGTTCAGCAAGATTTATTTACACATGTACCTAACTTTAAGCACTAGTTCTAGTCATTACAAAGAACCAATGCCTGAAAGTATAGGCCCACCTGGTATAAAATCCAGTCCCTGATAAAGTCAAGGGCAAAACTCCTTGACTTTGGTGGAGCCAGAATTTCACCTCAGCTGGGAAGTCAATGATGTGTGCATCCATGGTGGTGTTTGTCTTTGGCCTTGTCTACACTAGGGGGAAAAGTCGATCTAAGCTACGCAATTTGAGTTATGTGAATAGCGTAATTCAAGTCGATGTAGCTTAGATCTACTTACCATGGGGTCCACACTACGTAATGTCAATGGGAGACGCTCTCCCGTCGACTCCACTTACTTTTCTCGATCCGATGGAGGAGTCGACAAGAGAGTGATCTGTGGTCCATTTAGCGGGTCAAAGACCCACTAAATCGATCACCGATGCATCGGTCACTGCGTGTCGATCCCCCGGTAAGCGTAGACAAGCCCTAAGGTAATGAGTACAAAACAGGTCATCTTGGAAACTTGACATTTTGAATCAGTAAATTTTCAGATCAATTTAATCTCTTTCAAAATACTTATTCAAAATAGTATCCCAATTAAAAGTGGAATCAACATTTACTTTAAAATAATCCTCCTCACTTATTTATTGAAGACTCTTCTGTATTTATGATCTGTTACAACAATCCAGCCGTCCCTGTCTGTAGTTTTACTTAGAAGTCTTCTCTCTGGATTCCATGAGAGACAGATTTCTTCTCTACTAATCTTATATTGACAATTAGATTTAATCAAAAGATATATCCCTGTGAAGTAAATTCATATGGGTCTTCACAAAATGATTGGCAGGAAGTGGAATATCTGTTGTATCGTATTCTTGAATTTATCGCTAACTGTAGTCTCATGTGCAAAGGAATTATTATAGGAGGAGTTGGTAGTGACCTCTATTTAGGTTGCCTAATATCTTCCATTATAAAAGATTTTTTCAGTCTTTTATTGAGGAAACTGAAACTATGCTGGGAACCTTGGAAATAGGCAGCCTCTCCAGGAGGTTAGGAGAGAATGGAACCAGGCTTCCCTACAACAGGGCACATGGCTCCAGTGGCCCATTCCTCCCCTCCATCTCTAGGCGTGCCAAATGCGGAAGATGTTTCCCACACTTCCTGAAGTGGAGGGGAGAAAAAGAGAGGGAAGAGCTGGATCAGGTTCCCCCTTGGCCACACTCTAGACCAGTGATTCTCAACCTTTCCAGACTACTGTACCCCTTTCAAGAGTGTGATTTGTCTTGTATACCCCAAGTTTCGCCTCACTTAAAAACTGCTTGATTACAAAATCAAACATAAAAATACAAAAAAAAGTGTCACAGCACACGCTTACTGAAAAATTGCTTACTTTCTCATTTTTACCATATAATTATAAAATAAACGGACTGGAATATAAATAGTGTACTTACATTTCAGTGTGATACTTGAGCCTGTTTTTCACTTATGAGCCTTGTCTGACACCAAAGCCCTGCCACCCGGGGGGCTGAAGCACGTAACTTAGCTTTGCGTGGCCCCGGGCAATTGTCCTCCTTGCCACCCTTCTAAACCCATTCCATGCCCCCACTGGGGACTGTAACCCCCAGGTTGAGAAACACTCATCTAGATTAGTTGAGTATCCCATGGAAGACCTCTGAATACCCCCAGGAGTACATGTACCCCTGGTTGAGAACCACTGCTCTAGACCCAACACATGGCCCGGAGAGGCCCATTTCCCTCACCTGGTATAACAGCCTTTTGCTGCAGCCAGTTAATGTAGTTAGTCCTGTAGCTCAAGCTATGCTGAAGGCTCACAGTTCAAACCCTACCAGTGATGCATGGGGAAAGGAGTGGTTATTATAGTTGCCCAGAAAATCTGTTTTTAATTTTTTTCCCTTTCTATAAAAGAGAAAGTAGGAAATTACATTAAAAAAAACCAAAACAAAACACTCTACTGTTCTCAACTTTGCAACCTAAATAATTTATTTTTATATGCAATTATATTATTAAAGTAACACTTCTAGAAGAGCTATTAACAGTATCTGGACCAAAAAAGGCTTTTGAGTTTCAGTCTAAAAACTGAAATAATTCACCATCTAAATGTAAGTGTTATTAGTAGATATGAGATCCTAATTGAGGTAGTCCATTACTTTGATGTCTCTGTTTCAGAATAATACTTGCAACTTTGTATTGCAAGATCCAGACATTAGACTGAAAGCTGTTCATATAATGTACACTATAAAATATACAGTTCTGCACCACGTACATTGCTGGTGCAAAACTAACAGCACGTAAGATAGTATCAAAACTTTTGTTTAAAAAAAAAGTTATGTTTTATGTGCATGCTGACAGAAGTATGTTAGCAGATTTTGTAAACTGTTTCCCCATCCTGAGTAAAACGAGCAAAGACAGGATCTATGGCAAAGCAGGGCCCCATGGAGCCTCTGTTTGGGGGTCTTGTGCTCAATAAGAATGGAGATCTTCATGTCTTTCACAGACAAGCTGATCTTAAAAAGGAAGTCACCAGAAGGTCAAAAGCAGGTAGGAGTGATCAACAGGGAAAGAGCAAGAAATAAAAAGACAAGCACAAGCAGGTATACAGCTGCACAGGAAGAACCTTTCTGCACTGGGGAGCCACGTGAAAACCTTGCTGCTTTCAGCCATCGCTCTCTTGCTTGTCATCAGAATTTCACCAAGGTCACCTTCTCAACTAACCGCCTTTCAAACTCACATTTTGCACTAGCACTTGTGATACTGTTATAAGGAAACACCTGGGAGGAAGGTGGTACAGAAGGATACTGTGACTATCTAGAAGTACGCAAGAAAATGAGCACCAGCCACTGGCAGCGCCCTGCCCTGCTGCTGTTTCATGCCCTGCAGTTCTTACCCATGCCTTATGCTGCATGTCACCATCAGAGCAGGAAACCGGGGCTCAATCTCCTCCTGAAGTGACAGAGATCCTAGATCTACCCAGGCCTGTGTAAGCCACACTCCCTCCACGGGCCCGTCCCGGGTCCCCCTCCACGGACCGGTCCAGTGATGTACCCTCTCCGCGCCACTGACCGTCCAGGGTCCGGCTCGGCCCCCCACAGAGCCCCCCAGATCCCAGGTTCCGCCCCGGCCTAGCTCAGGCCCCACGGCAGGGGTACCTCGGCCTCCCCAGAACCCGCGACTGACCCAGCTGCCGTGCCCCAGCGCCCCAACCCCCCTTACCCAGCTTGACGACCGAGTCGGCCAGACACCGATCCCACTTCCTGCCCAACTCGCCCTCCGACGCCATCTTGTTCCCTCCCCCCGCAGTAGCAGCGGCGCTCGCGGGTCACCCTCGACTCTCCCCCGCCTCCCCGCTTTGGGGCCAGGCAAGCATCGCGAGAGCTGCTACCGGCCGGTCCGCAAATCTCGCGAGAGCATGGAGCTCTCTCCGGCCCCCGCTGGGGTTGCCAAGGTTACCGCTGCTAGGCAGGCCCTGGCTCCTAGGTGGGCTTGACCTTCGGACCAGGCCTGGGGGGAGATGCTGTCCTTGCAGTCCCTCCGCCTTTCCCCAGCTCCCCATCCCATAATAACGAGGAGACTGGTCTCCACACCCCACCCAGCCCGTGGGGCCTGCTCTATTCAGCTACCCCCACCTCTTGTAGGGTCCAGCCTGTCCCCCAGGTCCCCTTGCCCCCTGTAGGGTCAGGTACGTCCCGAAGGACCCCCCACCCTGTTAGAGGGCTCAGCCTTTCCTACAAGACCCCAGTCTCCTCATTGGGCCCAGTCTGTCCCATAGGACTCCCTTCTCCTGGGAGAACCTGGTACCTCCTGCAGGACAATCACCCCCATATGGCCTTCCCATCCCATGACACAGACATGCAGGTAAAGGCTGTTGTCTACTCCAATCCCTCAGATTACATTGTTTGTACATCCTGGTTTGATCAGAGTGGAGTAGATCTTGCATCCCACTCACAGGACCCAAAACAAGAGCTGGGAAGTGGGAGTGTCTGAGGATGGGGTAAAGTCTGGGGGAGAGAATCTGTGATTCCTAAAACTAGGTCAAGCATGGGGACATCATATGACAGTGCAGAATTGTTGGGGGTGAGGGGCAAAATGTCACTGGAGCTCTTCACTGACACATAGGGTTGCCAACTTTATGATTGCAGAAAACCAAACACCCCTGCCCTGCCCCTTCTCCAAGGGCCAACCCCCGCTCACTCCATCCCCGCTCCCTCTGTCGCTCGCTCTCCCCCACCCTCACTCACTCGCTCATTTTCACTGGGCTGGAGCAGGGGGTTGAGGTGCAGGAGGGGATGAGGGCTCCAGCTGGGGGTGGGGACTCCAGGGTGGGGCCAGAAATGAGGGGGCTCTAGGCTGGAGCAGGAGGTTTAAGGGGTGCAGGCTCTGGGCAGCGCTTATCTCAGGCAGCTCCTGGAAGCGGCCAGCATGTCCCTGTTGCCCCTAGGCAGAGGCACAGCCAGGTGGCTCTGCACGCTGCCGCCGTCCACAGGCGCTTCCCCCACAGCTCCCATTGGCTGTGGTTCCTGGCCAATAAAAGCTGTGGAGCCAGTGCTTGGGCCAGAGGCAGCACACAGAGCCTCCCTGGCTGTCCCTCTACCTAGGGGCTGCAGGGACATGCTGGCCACTTCCGAGAGATGCGCGGAGCCGGGGAAGGCAGGGAGCCTGTTTTAGCCCTGGGACCCCGCCGACCAGACTTTTAATGGGCCAGTCAGCGGTGCTGATCAGAGCCACCTTTTTGACGAGGTGTTCCGGTCAAAAACTGTACGCCTGGCAACCGTACTGAACACAGCAGTCTGCCCCCATGGATCAAATCGCAGGATCTGGGGCATAAGCACAAAATAAACTCATGCATAGTTGTTCCTATAGCAAGTTTTTAATGTAAACAGGGATTTTTTGTCCAGAGAATTATCCTAGACAAGCCTTATTATAGTAAAAATGTCAGGTGATAAAATCCCTTGTTCACACTCATTAAGGAAACTCTTAGCAGCAACTGTGTTTGTGACAACTTCAAGTCCTTCCACAGTCTACCGTAGCAGAGAGACAGGACTTTTGACTAATGACTGGTGATGTCACAGGGTGACTGGCCCCTTTAAGAAATAATGGGCCCAGCCAATCTGACTCACTTTCAGCTCTCCTCCCTAGGTGGGAAAAGTTACTAGGGTTAAATCAATAATAACCAGTAATAAAAGAAAAGCCTCCAGAGAGCCCATGGAGGAGAGAAGGAGACAGTTTGTAGGGAGAATACCTGCTTGATGCTGTGTTGTTCTTCACACTCCCCCTGATGTCTGTGGGCCCCCTGAATCAAGTGAAAGGGGGGCTCTGTGAAGCAGGGCTAGAACCTAGCTACTGTTGGGTTGGGGGAAGTTGGTGTTAATCACAGAGCAGAGGGCTGTTGGTTTCCTGAACCCAGGAGAAGGGTTTGGGACTGAGGAGCCAAACAATATAATCTGAAAAGATTTAGGTCCTGATCCACAAAGATACTTAGGTGTGTAAATCTTGGGTTCAGGTACTTGAGTGATAGTTTTAGGCTCCACTGTGATCCACAAAACTCCTACTGAAACCTGTAGGCACCTAAACTCATTTGGCACTTAAGTTTTCTGGGTAAAAGTTTGCTTGGCACGTAAGGGTATGTCTACACTACAACCGCTACAGCAGCACAGCTGCAGTTACACCCCGCTAGTGCACTGTAGACAGCTGCTGCAGTGACAGAAAGGGTTTTTCCATTGCTGTAGTAAATCCACCCTTTTGAGAGGTGGCAGCTAGGTTGATGGAAGAATTCTTCCATTGACCTAGTGGTGTTGGCTTACCTACTTCTCAGGTGTGAATTTTTCATGCCACTGAGTCGTGTAGCTAGGTCAACCTAAATTTTAGGTATAGATCAGTCTTTAATTTCTGCTTCTGAGTATGCACACTGCTACCTCTGTCCAGGTGTCTGGACACCTATAACCTGCCTAAGCCCCAGATCATTTTGCAAACTGGGGGAATATAGGCATTAGTCCGTCATGTACAGAGCCTGATCTGGTATTTGGTCCACTCTAGATAAATACTTAAATATTCATTGGACCAGAGAGAGAAAGGGAGAATGACTGAAGTCCAGTGATTAGGGCCCCCCTGAGAAGTGGGAGTCCCAGGTTCTAGTCCAATCACTTTTTAATTATTTATCCACAGTAGAACAGTTTCAACAGGAGCAACTGAGGGAGCCCACATCAGATTATCCCATACCTCAGTGGTTAGAGTACTCTCATGAAAGATGGAAAACCACCGTTGAAATCCTTCTTCCACCTCTGACAAGGAGGAAGGAATTGAACCTGGGTCTCCCACATCCCAGGTGAGTGCTCTACTATCATGCATCCATAGGATTGGTGCTATGCCCCTAGCTTTGGAACAGTCTCTTGGACGACCCCCTTCAATGTGCCAGAGCCCTCAAGGGTTCTCCCCATTCCTTCAGGGTAGGCCACGTGACCTCACTGACTCCTAAGACTGTATCTCTGGGGTTTCAGCACTCCTGCTTCATACCATGAGCTCTGTTCAGCAAATCCAAATAAGATAGACTCCTGATAGTCACTTGTAAGCAGTGTAAAAGGCACCCCAGAATAGAGAATTAAGGGGACACAGCTGTTCAACAGTCCAGATTGTACCCTGGGGAATGTCACAGCACCTGCCTGACTCCATGAGACAGGTTCCCATTCATGGATCTCTAGCACAGCTAGTATCAGAGGGGTAGCCATGTTAGTCTGGATCTGTAAAAAGCAACAAAGAGTCCTGTGGCACCTTATAGACTAACAGAAGTATTGGAGCATAAGTTTTCGTGGGTGAATACCCACTTCATCAGACGCCTGATGAAGCGGGTATTCGCCCACGAAACCTTATGCTCCAGTACTTCTGTTAGTCTATAAGGTGCCACAGGAC